TCTCTCTCCCTCTGTATTTGTCTCACCCTCTTAATCTATCACTCTCTTTTCCCAGTCTACCTCTCTCCCTCTCCTTCCCTCCCTCTCTGTATCTCTCGATTTCTCTCCTTTTTTCTCTCTTTTTTTCATGTATATCTGAGTTAGGCAAACGTTTATTAGAAAGTTTGAACCCATTGTATGTGATTATGAACCATGTCATACTGTGGTCTGTCAATACGTATGCAGAAGCCATGGTAAACATGGTTTTGGTGTAGTCTGCCCTTCAGTCAGTCTGTCGATGGGTATATTATTAAGAAAGAAAAGCTATTTTTCTAGTGGTGGGGACGATTGTGATCCTTTAAAGAGTATAGGGAGGACATGAAAGGAAAATCAAAAGTTGACAAAGGTAAAACAAGAAAGTGAAACAAAGTAAAAGTGAACAAAGATAAAACAAGAAAGCGAAACAAAACAAAAGCTGATAAAGGTGGAACAAGGAGACGAAACAAACTTACTTTCCACTCGTCCGCAGCCTGACCCCTCTACTGCTGGTAACCAACTTGCCATTTTTGTACCACGAGAACTCCGGTTTCGGAATCCCTTTCGCTGAGCACTTCAATGTGACCTTTGTCCCAGATTTTACACCGTCCGGTCCGGTCAGTCTTTTGATTTTTGGACTTTGAGCTGAAATAGGCAAAGAAAGGTAGGCGAATGAAGGACATTACAGACAAGAAACGAAGTGATACAAGACTAGTTTCTGCTCAGTGTACAAAAACAGTACATAGAAATATAGGCAAATTGAGGGCATTAAGACGAGCTATGAATAGATTAAACATTTGTTTATTAGTATAAAATTTATATAAAAGCACATTGTTTTAGTATTTCTGCACTAGTTTTATGCACACTTTCTCTTGCGCCCGGTGTTGGCAGCATGGGACACAAGCAAAACTTTACAACAGATCATTATTGTATGTTTTGCGCCCCTACCTATCGGTACAATTCAAATATTTTCGGAAGCGGGTCTTTTCGGTCGTCTCTGAGAGGCAGAATACTTCATTGATTATATTCCCCACTTGGGAGTCGAACCTATTTAGCTCACGCGCAAGGCCAAGAGCCTACCCATTACACAACACACGCAGGCACGTTGAAGCCAGCTTTAAAAAACCCCAAAAAACTTGGGGGACTTTGACGAACAAATGGTTCCGAAACCCCTCCCACTCAGACAAGCCATTTCCCATAATATAGCTAGGATTACGCTAACATCAAAAGAAATCGATAAATCAAAAACCAGGCCCGCACTCTCGAAAATAATGCGTTAGTAAAAGATACATTGAAATGAAGCAGTGACATGCACGAACAATATGAAAGAGCTTCACGCTAAAAGCAATTCGTATTAATATTAAACTGAAATAGCATAGACAACATTAGGTTTTTGAAAGTTCTGAAAAGATGACAGCAGCTCACTGAGTATTGTTCTACCTCTTTCAAAAACCTTATTCAAGGACAATGTTCAGGAAGTGCGAATCAGATCGCCTCTCGCGATTCTACAGTGATCGACAAGGATAGTTAAAAATAGAACTTCCTGTCCTTTTATTTCATATTATGACTATGTACAAAGATTCGTCGCAATACGTAAGCCACGGATACATCGACAGAATAAAAGGTTTTGGATTATGTTTGTGGCTGTCCAATTGCTTCCCTGTCTTGTCTGGTCACTCGATCAGAATCCTTTAAGAAGTTAAATCTCTGACGTCACACAAGTGGGGATGAGAGCGGAAAGAGGAGCATGACGAACTTCCTGCACAGGCCAAACTCGCAAACAGACACACGTGCGCGTGCGCGCAAACACTCACACACACACACACACACACACACACACACACACACACACGCCCAGACATACACACACACATACACA